AAAATAAAAAAAGGAAAAAAAAGTGTTGGAAATTAAAAAAAATCAATGAACCAAATCGAAAACACACTGGGAAGACATCACTAACAGATCTGAGAGAGAAGAAGAGAAGAGTATAAGGGATGGTATATCATGTTGAGAAAATACCAAGCTCAAACAACAATAAAGAAAAAGAAGTGAATGAGAATGACCACAACATCTATGTCTGGAATTCTATCTAGAAATCCAGCACAAAAACCCGTGGTAAAAGAGGAGCTGCAGTAAATATGGAAGACATAGAAAATCCACTCCATGCAATTATAGCAGAAAATTTCCACAAAGGAAAACAAGGGGATCATCCACATTTATCAAATTATCAATAAGGGACTGCAAATGTGTATAGTTAAAATAATTTTTTAAAAGAAGGAAAGATCAAGTAGAAATCTAGAATCGTCGAGTTTTAGGGAAAGGGAAGAAGATGGAACGGAGTTGAGCACAGGAGACTAAAAGTCAACGTGCCGCAGCATGCTCTTCTGCTTAAGCCGGGCTGCTCCCAAGCTCACTGTGTTCCGTACATGGTGGCCATCTTAGATATCTATATATCCATTTGAAAATTAAAAACCCCAAAGGATAAGGCTCTCCTGAAGCCTAGATGTACTGAACAGCTCATAAATATCAGTTACTGCCCTGAAGGCTGGAACCCACGACTCCAGGCAGAAATGGTTGGAGTCAGCCCTTCAGAACAGAAAAAGCTCTTGGTTAGGGAACTGTGGTAGGGATGGATCTGGACAATGACACTGGCATAGAATGTGAGGAGGAGACTCCTGTGACCGATGAGTAAGTTCCAGAAGCCTGCGGGGCAGCTTGAATCACTAGGTAAACAAACTCTAGACCGAAAGGACCTTTCATTCATCCTGGTGATCTGTTTGGGTAGAAAACAAAACAAAAATATGCTTTGATTTTTTTTTAAGGATGAATAAATTTTATGAAAAATTTTAAGCTAAAATAGTTTTTCCAACCCCTTCTTAGTCAATTTCCAGCCTGTGGGCCACACCTTACTGAAACAAGAGACTCATGATGAAGCTGCCTCCTGCCTTTTCCTCTCTTGTCCTGGGTCCACCCTCTCCAGTTCCCTGCCTCTGAGTGTGTTTACCAAACTTGCTGTGCAAGAAGGTGCAATAAGAGTGTTCTGGGTCACAAACGGGTTAGGCAGTGGCCCCAGGAAGGAAGAAGAGGAGAAAGGAAAGGCCACACTGCAGGAGCTGTTGTGGCTTCTCCCAGCTACAGTTACCTGCTCCATCAGCCATGGTGACATCTGAAGAATTATTAGCCTGGCCCCGTGGCTGAAGAGCTTCGTCTCAGGTCAAGGTGAGTCAAGCCTGCCATCTGGTCCTGGCTCCAGGCTCCTAAGCTGATGGCTTTGAAATGGTCCTTCCAGGAGCATCTTTGCGCCCTAAGTGACAGGAGGGCACTCACAGAAATGTGCTCCATATGTCTCCTGATCCAGAGACACCAAGTGGTGAGGGGCATTCATGAAGCAGGAAGATATTTTTTTAAAAGCTTTGAAGGACTTTCATTTGAGGTGTGCTCCTGAGAGGCAGACACTGACTACCCAAACTCTAGGGTAATAAACTTGAAGAGGAGAGGAAGCTGAGAAGATCAAGATTTTTTAAAATGTTCAGGACTCTGGACTTCAAAACATGTGGCTACTTCATTTCCCATTAAATAGTACCAGAGATGGGAGGAAAAGCCAGCAAGGATAATTTCATGGAAGATAGTTAATTGTCAGGAGAAGAAATGAGGTAGCCTGAGTATACAGTGTACTGCAGTGGGTGGAAATGTCTGACTTATATTAACAGTCAGATGGCAAAAAAATGCAAAAATGCTGCATATCTCTGGGGACTGAAAGAGGAAAGCCAGGTGAGAGTGTCATACATGAAAATGGCATGCAGGGAACTCTGGCATGAACTTGCCAGGGATGTGTAGGAATGCACACTTTTAAGTGAATTACTTTTATTCTCTGTGTATGTAGGTGCGGCTGATGACTATATGTGCACCATGTGCATGCAGTACCCGCAGAGGGCCAGAAGAGGGCGTGGGATCTCCTGAAACGAGTTTTAGGTGGTTGTCAGTGACCCAATACCAGGTGTTGGATCCTCTGGAAGAGCAGCAAGTGCCCTTCCTTGCTGGGCCGTCTCTTTAGCCCAGCAATGCACACTTTTGATGAGAGCAATAAACGTGGAAATAAAGGTTCAGAATGCAACAAAATACTTCCGAATCTATAATTATAATTCTCATGGTCAGAGTCAGAACTGTTCATTAATTTCTCACAGAACGCATAGATTTTGATGTGAGCAGCAGTGCACAACGGAAAAGTTTAAGGAGAGAAGGGATGAGTGGGCTTTGAAATTATAGTGGGGGGAGGGGGAGAAGAACGTTGTGGAAACAAAGAATTATGATCACACTTTTAGTCATCAACCAACAGCCATGACAGGCACCTTCAGGGTATAGCCAGGATTCCAGGGTTTAAATTATGCTAGACAAATCATGACTTGACTTCTTTGTCTGCAAGAGGCATAATAGGATAAATCTCACAGTTTTAAGGGATCAGTTGAATTATAGACATAAATAGACATAAAACATAAATCTTTGCCCAGTAAGTAATAAATGCTTCGTAGACTTCCATGGTAGCGTTCAATAAAATTTCATAAAATAAAGTTTAAAATTTTTTAAAAAAATTACCCACTTTTCTACATTTCTGCCATCAAGATATTGCTGTGCTACCATCTACCCATTCAAACCCTTCGATCCCACACTACTTCTCCAAAGGGTCGTGTGGTTCCTCTACACTGACCCAGGCAGGCCATTGTATCCTGCTTGACTTCATTAGCATTTACGGTTTTGAAAAAGAAAATTGCTCAGCCACTCAAATTTTAAAGTTCTGGATATTTTAAAACCAATACTGGCTACGTGATAGTGAAACTATTCTTTAAATAATTCCTCAGGACCACCTTCAATTAACAAACAGAAATTCAGTTAGCAAACTCGAGAAGTATGGGGAGTTAGACATTTTTGAAGAGAAAGATGTGTTTTATTTGTTTAAAAAAGAAAGAAAAAACATCCAAGCCCAACCAACTTGGTGTAATCAGCTGTTTGCCTTTAGGCTCTCAGCCCCCTCTGTTGGGGTGTCGGAAAGGGGGCGGGGCTAAATGACTGACAGTGTCCAAGAAGAGTGTCCAAGGGTTGCAGCTCAGGCAGCAGCAACCAGCCCCTCACCTTCTTCTTATCTCTAACACAAACACACAAGCACATGCCAATTCTATTTATTTTATACTTAAAAATCTCAAAGGCACCAGGCCTGGGCCCCTGGACTGGCAATGCGCTGGACCATCGCCCTGAGCTGACATAAAATCTACCATGAGGCTGCGTCATTCACAGTGTGTGTCTGTCACCAGCGAACGATGGCCCTTGGCAGGCAGCCCTCTGCTGGCTCGGAAACAAGAGGGGACTTGTACGTCCAGACTAGAGGCAGAACCATGCCACCATGGAGAGCTACTTGTGTCGCTGAGCGCATAGGTAGAGGTACGGTATGAGGAGGTCGTCCACCCACCAAACCCCTTCAGTCCTGTGGCAGCTTGGTAGGCTTAGCACTTAGGGCTTCTTCAGGACAAGGAACAAATAGGATTTTATAGCTCTTGAGTGACCTGAAGGAAGAACCCCTAAAAAGGTCTACAGAGAAATGACAACTCATCTAATTGTTATTGTTCCTTAAGCATCCTATAGTACAGACAAAGACGGAGTCTTTAATGTGGGACTTTGTTAAGCCACGGCTTTTCTTAGAAACCATAGCTCATCCTGTTGCCTGTAGCTCTGGGCCCTCAAGTCATCAGGTTCATTTGAAAATATGAATCGAGTTTCAGAGCGACAGAATTCTGCTGGTGTGTGTGTGTGTGTGTGAGAGAGAGAGAGAGAGAGAGTGTTCATACGCACATGTTAGCATCATAGGCGCACACTGAGTGTCTTCCTCAGTTGTCGGCTTCCCTGTTAGTTTTTTTTTTTTTTTTTTTTTTTTTTTTTTTTTTTTTTTTT